CGGAACGCGGCGGAACCGCGTTCCGGCACCTTTTTCCGGGCCGGCCGCACCGGAAATAGCCCCTCCCACACCGGAAATAGCCCCTCCCAAATTTTACTTGCATTCCTGTTCTCTAAAGGGGCGGTCCTAGGGTTTGATGAGGGCGTGGCCAGGTTTGAGTTCCGCCACCTTTTCTCCGAGAAAAAAAGCCCTGGCTTTAGGTATAGGAGATTGCTTATATGAAAAGAGCACGGTAAGGGGAGGGGGGGGGAAGGAGTTACGGATGGAGCCTGGGTTGCTGTGTATGAGTCATCATCTAAGAATTGTTTTTTCGTGCCATCTTATGCCTGGTACCAAGACCTGATCTTTTTGTTCTGGAAAGGTATAAAAGGTGGAAGACATCTTTTCTGGTTGTTGCCTTCATTCCTCTACCAGCCACGAAGAGGAATCAGGCAGCCCCTCTCTGTTTTGATCAAAATAAAGTTATAATCTTTGTTGAAACCTCGGCTCAGAACTTTCTTTGGCTCTTTTAAATTCCTGAGTAACACCAGGGCAATTGTGAGGCTAAGTGGAAAACCTTACAACCATATTATGAGTTATTTCAGGGCCTAGAGGTATCTACCTCAGTGCAAGAAATCAAAGTTCTAAGGTCTTCCAAATTTCTATCTTCTTCTATATAATAAACCTGAGATTAGTTAATTAATCAGTATTTAAGAGTTTGTTCTGCACAAAAAAAAACAAAAACAACCCACCAGGAAATCTATAAGGTCGATTTTGTAACCATTGGTTAACTTTATATAAGTCTTCAGTGTATGGAAACTATAAAATGAATGACATTATTGTATTAGAGATAAATATTTTGCAGAGTGACAGGTCATTATGCTGTGATTTCACATGATACTGTATCCTTTTAAAAAGTAATTAACAGCTCCTTTCCCTTCTGTTTTTGAGAAGCACCACCACCAAAGTGTTGTCAGCAAGAATTGAAAACCATAGTGAGATATGTATTAGCAAAGCAGAGTTGCAGATCGAACAATTTCTATCACCCATTATAAAATGTTTCATACATCACCCAAATCCCAATCACAAATGGCATCTATTATAATTGGTTGGGGACACTGGACTCTTCGCAGTTTTAAAGGACTAATCTCTTTACTCCTTCGTTTTAGTTCTGCAATGGTCTTTTCAGCTTCTTTCACAGTCTTCTCATCATTCTAAAAAAGAAAGAGAGTGGAGAATTAGAGCTGGTATGTATCTGAGAAAAAGTACGCAGCCAGAGTTATTTTTCTCCAATAATGGGAAAATACTTTACACTGGGTTTTTATTCTCATAGAACGCCCAGAACGGAGTTCCGGCACCTTTTTTGGATGGAACCTTGTAGGGTAGGCAAGGTGGGCTGTATGATGTGTCTGAGTTCCAGCACCTTTTTTTTTTTTTTTAGAAAAAAAGCACTGACTTTACTCTTTTTTTTTGAGAAAAAAATGGCTACCATCATGAAAAATCCCTCCTATTTCCAAATCGACACCTTATATTAAGTTGTTGGTATCAAATATATATCTTTTTTTGGGTGAAAATATCTCACACGGTAAATAAGACGTTCGGAACTCGTCCCCCAACCTGATCAAGGGAAGTCGGGAAACTCAGATACAAAATACTTCGCGACGGAATGACCGGCGACTTATACCCAACCCAAACCATTTTGTGTTCTATAATTATCTTTGATATATGTTGAAGTAATAAAAGGATTAATCCTAATGTTGAGAATATTAATGGGTTAATTACTTAAAGCATATTCCCATATTCAAACGAATGCATGGGAGACACATATTATTCCTATTTCTGTCTTATATGTGGCTGTGAATATATCAAGGCCCTATGGCAGTTTATATATAATTCTGCATCATGGTAGAGTGGTTAAGACTGGGCAAACCAGTTCAAGTGAAAGTGCTGTTCCATTTTGGGTTGCAAATCCAGCTGCAACCACTGAATAGGGTATAATTTTTCTTGGTGCCCCCTTTTCCTTCCTCTGGGTTTCTTTTGTTAATAATTCCTGGTCCTGCAGAGTTACACTTAACTGAGCTTAGATGAAACAATAAAAAATAAACAGGTTTGGTTGCCATAGTAGTTCAGCAAAACCATGTTCATTCCAGGTTATTAAGATGAGAGCTTGATATCTTTCAGTTCTCCCTTGGGTTCTCACCTCCAGATGGCACATTAAGTCAGACACTATTCCCAGACTGTCTTTATTGAACTTGCTGTATTTGTTATCAAGATCATTGTTCAGTTTGTTTAATAAATGGTTCATCGCGTCAGCATCATCATAGAACTAAAGAGAGAAGAAACAAACAAAAAAACCCACAAAAGAACAGACTGATCAAGAAGTGCTCCTTTTAACCATGAAGACTTGCAGGGACAGAGACATTTTGTCTCATTATAACAAACCAATAATCTTCAGGATATCAGTCCCTGTTGGAATTATTTAATTTTACTTACAATGCATAACTGGATGTCTGATATCTGTATCATTAAATCAGTACTAGCAATTCTAAGAATTCAGTGTTGCATGCTTGTTATTTTGCATATGCGTTCATTTTGGTTTTAAATGAGTTACTTCCCAATTCAATTGGAGTTTAGACTTTAAACTGAATTTGCCATTTGGGATGAATTGAGAAAGAAAAAAGGAAGAGTGAAACATTTTGATTTTTATCTGGACATCTCAGTACCGTTCTTTGGCATGCTCTTCTGGAGAGGTTATCTGAGGTCGATTAGTTTAGATAACCCTGGGAATATGATGGAAAGTATGCTGTGACTTCAGCAAACCCTTCACAAAGTCTGCTGTGAGATCCAATGCAAAATGTTGCCATCATACAAAAAGTGGCTTGGAACAGTAGTAACCACTGAGCAAACCTCAGCGGCTCTACTATGTAGCATACTGCAGAGCTCTGTTCTAGGCCCTGTGACAGAATGACAGAAATAAGGGATTAGAAATTATGACAATATTTGCAGATGATACAAAGAGAAAATAGCAAATGTAAAGTATTAATATTTATGAGGATCTTGACAAGCTTGAATAGTAAGTAGAAAACAAAAAAGGATGAATTTCAACACAAATACATGTAAGAACCTTCTTTTGGGTAGAAACAATAGCATTATATGATGGAGGGTATCATTGGGCAGTAACTCGTACAAAAATAATCTGGGGTATCTGGCTGGGTCACAAGCTGAACATGAGTCAGCAGTGTGATGCAGCTGTTAAAAAAAGGAAATTCAAAAGAAGGATCATGTCAAGCTCAAGAGAGGTTATAATGCCCCTCTCTTCTGTATTAATCAGACCATACCTAGAATATTGTGTCCAGAAATGGACACTGGATTCTAGGAAAGATATTGACAAACTGAAAAACAAGCGTTTGATTTTCTTCTTTTGTATCAAGTCCATTTACCTTTCTATAATTCTCTATGCTCTTCAGATGGTGCTCCTGACAAATACATAAGTTGAGAAAATTTTGCCATTCATTCTTCAGGGCTTCCTGATGGGCCTGCAGTGATAGACAATAGATATAGACAATAGATAGATAGATAGATAGATAGATAGATAGATAGATAGATAGATAGATAGATAGATAGATAGATAGATAGATAGATAGATAGAATTCTCATATCTGTTACTTTTTAATTTAATTTCTTCTCCAAAGACTAACAGCAACAGATTACCATGGCTGATCAAATATAAAACAAATCTATCAAATTTTCTCTCAAATTTGGCTATATTCAAGGCCATATTCAAAATATCTATCTTGGAGCACACTTCATTTTGTTGTCTGCAAAGGATATACCCTCAGGTATCTATATAAATATTTTCTTCTGGATGGATGGTGACATGCCTAGACAATCAACAAAGCTTTGTTTGCTTTTACAGCCATTTCTTGGGCCATAGATTGCACAGCAGTCTAAAGCATGGCGTTTTCCAAGACTCTGTTTACACAATATACTTTCAAAACTTCTCATGAGGATTTCTGTTTTACTGGGATAGTTACAATGTGGTGAAATTTTTTTTCTTAAGCATAGTTTGCCCATTGAAGCACAGATTGCTTATTTGGGACAATATTCAATCTAATGGTTAAGGCATCAGGCTAGAAACAGGAGACGGTGAGTTGTAGTTCTGTTTTAGCCATGAAAGTCAGCTGGGTGGCCTTGGGTCAGTAACTGTCTCTCAGACCAACTCACAGGGTTGTTATGGGGAAAATAGGAGGAGGAAGGTGTGTTGGATATGTTTGCTGCCTTGAGTTATTTGTTAAAAAATATGAAGATGGAACATAAATAAATTAATAAAAATAAAAGCAAGAGGAGCCTGTTGCAACAAATCTCAGTGCTCATCTGTAAATTACACTGCAGAGACTTAGTTAACTTTTTCTGGGATTATTCTCTTCAAGTTATGGTAAGTTGTGATTAGTTTAATACCAATACTGTACCTATTCTGTTAATAATTATACCTCAGATTTTCACTACCAGAAAATACCGTACAAGTACTATATTTGATGTGTATTTGTATTAATTTGTATACTTGGAAAAATATGAATAAAGAGGATAATTTAAACATTATTATTCCTGACTTGTTCAATAGTACTGTGTCATTAATAAACTGCCATTAGCCTTATTTCTACATCACACAGTACTGTATGTTCTTTCATTTTCATCAATAGTAGCTACATTAATTGTACAGCAGACCTACAATCCATAGATATTCAGGGAGAGTATGTTGCATCACATTATCTGATTTACAGTATATCCTGGTGGCTGCTAGCAATAAATAGATAGCAATAGCACTTAGATTTATAGTATATACTGCTTCATAGTGCTTTATAGCACTCTCTAAGCGGTTTACAGAGTCAGCATATTGCCCTCAACAATCTGGATCCTCATTTTACAAACCTCAGAAGAATGGAAGGGTGAGTCAACCTTGAGCTGGTCAAGATCGAACTGCTGGCAGTCGGCAGAATTAACTTGCAATACTGCATTCTAACCACTATGCCACCACAGCTCATAGAGAGATATGAATACATACTAACTTAAATTTGAGGCAAATTCAGAGCTTATTATCTAACCAAGTTAGAATGTTGTTATTTGGTCATTTTGATTGCTTATCTAGCCTTTCTAGTTTTCTGGAAACAAATCTTTTGAAAAGGATGGGGATCATACGGTTTCAATCTAGAAATTCATTGAGACATTCAATGTCTAAAAGCAACATTTATGGTTAAACATTTCTTAAATTCCTTAATTTAGTTCCAGAGAGAAGTTTTATGTTTGCTTACTCTTTTCTGTATGAACATTTAAAACATACCTAAGTCCTGTCTAATATTCCAAAATGCCTCTCCACCTTTAACAGGTGTTTGTGGAAGCTCTATAGTTAGCTGCGCAATCCTTGGTAATTCAGCTTTAGAGACAATTGCGGATAATGTTTAGACACCCCTGATCAAATTATATGTTTCAGTTTCTAAATGAACGAAAGCTGAAACCACCCCTATATGGAATTAAATCAGTATTTTATAACATGGCAGGTGTTACAAACATTTCCTTTAGCCAACTATTCTTGTTTCTTCTTCAAATTTCCTTGTAACCTATCTTTTCTAGCTCAGAAATATTTTAGTTCTTCTTGCATGTTCTAATCTATATCTTTGATATCTCTCCATAGATTTTCAATGCTATTCAAAGCTGGAGATAGAAAAGACTACTCCAAAATCCTTTATCTTCCTTTCTGCAAATAGTTTGATTTGGAATATTGTTTCAGATCATTGTCTTGCTGAAATACCTAAATACTTCTTTTCAGCTTCAGTTTCTATACTGATTGTACAGACTCAATGGGGGAACATTCCCTCTCTTCCAGACAAATGGATTCTAGACTATTAGTTAAAAAAAAGTTATTCAGCCACTTAATTTCTCTGAAAAGAATAATGGTGGAACTAGTAATGAAAAAGCCAAGAGGTTTACAAAAAGGATGAAAAATGTATTTGGACGTCTCAATTATACCCTTAATTATACCCTCATTCAGAAGCATCTTTTTCTCTGTTGCCTGGCAGCATCCACTCACTCAGGGCAAAGTGAGGGAGAAAAGAGAAAAGTCCATATGATTTGGCTCTGTTGAGAGGCCAGTCATTTGTGTCTCCTCTTTGCCTTTGATCTTTTCCCAAATTAGTTGCTCATTAGAAGATGTTTGTAATTAAGAACAGGTGGCAGCATTTGTTTTCCTTTTGCTATTAATTTTTTGGTCCCAATCTAATTTTCTTAATCTGAAGACAGGAAATTACTTTTCTTCTTCTTCTTCTTCTTTTTTAAAAAAAACTTTGTTAGGGCAAATATTCTTCAGAGAATCAAATTAATGAAAAGAATCTGGTCATTTAGCTTTCAGAATTCTGATATTTACCTGGATTGGGGTCACTGCTGGATGCTTCAGTTCAATCATCCGTTCTCCATCATCCTGAAGCATATTCACATACTCTTCCTGGTTAAGAAGCTCATTGTTTCTGAACTCCTGCAGAGAAGGAAGAAAGAGTTAATACAGTATACATGGCCACAATGAATGAGTTGAATGATACAAATGATACACATGAAATAAATGGACTACTGGGGACAGGCAATTTACCATCCAGCCCTGCCAGGAGAGTAGCAGGTTATCTATGAAATTCAAGTATAGGTGGTCTTCATGATGGTAGTTTCCATTGCTAAGCAATGTGGTTATAAAGCATGATGTCACATGACCACACTGCTTAGAGATGGTAGTTCTGACTGTTCCTGGTTACTGCTGTTAAGTGAATCATCACAGTTTTCACATCACTATGACTTCTAACTTCCTGCCAGATTCTCCATTGACTTTGCTTGTAGGAAAGTGGCACGGAACACTGCAAATCACAAACATGTGACTGATGAGGGTGCAACTGTCAGAAATCTGGGCCAGCTGCTGAGCACCTGGATTGCAATCATGTGACTGGAAGCACTGCAATAGCTGGAGCTTCAAGGATCAGTCGTAAGTACCACTTATTCGGTGCCATCACAAATTTGGTCACTAAAAGAATGGATGTTAACTGAGGACCCCCTCTACATTTAACAATGTGTAAGTTTTGTTGAAATCAGTATGGCTGGAGGAAAATGTTGCCTACAAAAGCGTACATAGTTTATCTGCAGGGATGTGCCATGGGCACATCTGAAATTGATGTTGCAGGAGTGTCATGTTTCCTAACAGATTTCATGAACTAAGAATTCCCACATCTAGAAATAGAGTTTGACATCTAACTTCTCATTTACCTCATACTCACGCCGGACTGACTGGGGATCAATCATTTGATCACTCCAGTCCTGCTTCAAGATCTTTTGCTGTTGTTCTGAGAGATACGCCAGCTCTTTCATGCAGCCTTGGAGGTGGGTATAGAGGCTATTCAAGCTCTGGCCTCGCCAGATAGAGGCTTTCTGTCAGATTGAGGGGGAAAAAATATTGTCATTTCATTTAACTGTTGTCCAGTTGTCACCAAACGGATATTGTAAAGACAAGTCCTAGCATTCTCAAGCATTACAGCCCTTGGTATTATGGTCTGAAGTTTTCATGAATGGTAGTCCAATAAGATTGGAGGACACTATGTTGGGAAAGGGTGCCGTAGTTTTTTTATTATTCCCATCTAATTTAATATCAGAACATCCTTATTGAGAATGCTAGAACAGCTGCCATTGAATTTTTAGTATTTAATTAGATTTCTATCCTGATTTTCATTCAGAAACTCAAGATGGCAGACATAATATTTCTTCCTCCTATTTTCCCTACAACCACCTGCTTCTATGGCTGAGGGTGGACTAGAACTTGAGTCTCCCTACTCCTTGTCCAACATTGTGCCCACACTGCACCATGCTGGCTCTTAGCTTTGGAAATGCTATTTAAGATAACAGCCAGGCCATTACAAGAATTCTCTTGGGATCTCTTATGCTAACAGTCCAATAATTCTCTCCTACATCATACACAAGCTACCTCATGATCCTCTGTAGAAGATGGCTGCTTGGTAAGGGCAGGAGAATAAGATAGGCCTGTTCTCAATAAGTCATGTCTCTATGGATGCAACTCCAAAACTTTGTGTCGGATGTGTAGGACAGGAAAACACTCAACAGTGTTGGTGCTTGTATTTATTTTTTGTTCTTGTAAAGAACCATCAAATCAGAAGTAGGCAATACTGTATGATGCAAACACCAATATACTTTCAGATACCTCTGTTAGTACCCACCATATTCTCTCTCCTATCCCAATTTTACAAAATTAAACAAGAAGCTGGAAACAGCAAAGCACAATCCCAGCCTCTAACATCACATTTGTTTGCAGGAAATTCTTTGGATTAAGGTCCCAATGAAATAGAAGAGGGCACCTATGAGTTTAGTTCATATTCCATTAAATGGAGGTATTGTAAATAATCGTAACCACCGCGGCAGCCATTTTATATATAAGTGTGTCTATCATGGCACTCATTTGGGGAAGGTGTCCATCACATTCTCTCGAAACCAAATGACTCCTATCTTTAATAGCCAGATTTTCCAATCACAGCTTACACGAATCTGATATAGCAGATTAATAATAATTTTAAAAAGTTATAGCCTATAATAGTGAATAAACTTCTTACCAGCAAGTCCTTGTAATGAGTCTTCAAATCTCCAGCTTCCTGTTTGGAGAGAGTGAGAGCAATTTTATTCTTAAAAGGAACAATACTAATGGTTTACATAATGTGTTAAAAGATATACCATCTTGCTTTATCATACTGTGAAATTAATTTTTGTGCTATAATATTTAGATTTAGTATGACCTTTTCATTTAAAAAAAACAATTTCCATGAGCAAACTGATCCCTTTATAATGTAGTCAATATTTTAGTCAATATTTACCATTTAAATATTGAAAGAATTGAACTGTTAGCTAAAAAAAAATCAAATTTGTATTTGACTGTCAGTGAGTACTATGAATAGATATTTCATTTTTCAAAAACTAGTTATGACTCTGTCTGTAAACTGTTATTGTCTGATAATTCACTGACAGCAGAAGTGCAAGTACTGTTAAAGGGCCTGTAATTGCAATAAGATTACAGAGATTTTTTTATGTAAACATTCATTACAGTAATGGAACATTTTAGTACATCCAGTACTGTGAGTCCATCACAGTATGCTAAGTGACATTTAACAAACCTTTTCAGCTAAGTTCTGCAAATTTTATTTATTTATTTTGTTAAACATTTTATATGGCTGCCCAACTTGCACACAAATGCCTCCTGGCAGCTTACAACATTAAATCATTAATCGTTTGAAAGTTCTCTATTTTTCTTATCTTGCAACTTCAGAATGTATTGCTGGATAAGAAGAAAAAGTAGTCATTTCCATTTAAATGCTGACGGTTTGAATTTCAACTTAGTTTCAAAGAGCCAAAGATGAAGACTTTTAAAGCTGTAGACTACAACATCTGAAGGGCATCAGATTGTCTGCCTCTTTTGTCTTCACAAATTCAATGCTCTCATAGGTGTTGGATTACAGTTCAACATGTCCCTACTGAGCTTTGGACAATTACTGGGTTAGCTATTGGTGATGGGACTTGTGGTCCATTATGGCTTTATTTCGTGTGTTTTTTTTCACCATCGCTGTTAATACACCCAGATTATGCAACATAAAAATGCTCACAATAAATACAGTCATATTACTGGGCTACAATAACCATATCTCTGCATGCAGAATCAAGTTCCAAGTCTGTTGCTTTAGACTTCTGATGTTTTCATATATTTTTCTTCTCAAGTGTAGTTCTGCCTCCTAGAGTACAATAATATAGTATTATAATATTCACTTTCTGAAGTTTACTTTTCAAGAGAAATACTGTATTTAACCTTAAAGGTTAGCAAATTAAGTCTTGTAATTTCACGAGAACAGAAACTTCACCTCTTCATAAAAACTATCAATTCTAGAATACTGAAATTCACTGGGAGTTAAGAATTTGGTTTGCTTAAACAGGTCTTGTAAACATGTAATGGTTCATTTTTCAAGGTGTGTGAATTCCAAGTTGGATATTGCTTAAAATGATCACATTAATTATTCCTCACTCTCCAACCACACAGCATTGGGAAGACGTGTACTATAATTCATCTCTACAGTGAAAAGATTGACCATATGCCACCTTACCAGACTGTGAAGATTTTTGATCTGGAGACCATATGCTTCTATCTCCTTTTGAAGAATGTTGTGTTCTGCAATTTGTTTTTCCAGCTCAGGCATTGTAGGTCCATATTTCCCTCCACTGACTTGTTTCTGCAACAAACCCACCAGCAAGTCATCACGCTGTATATATCTAGAGTTATCCAATTGCAAGAAAAAAAACTATCTCATTTCTTTGACCTCTTGTCCAAATGATTGCCATGTTGTTCCTAATACTTGTGACTGCTGCTAGCACTCAAGCCAAATTATCCTGAAATGTTGGAGAGTGGAAGTCACTTAAAACCAGAAAAAGATGCAGGAAAAAATGGTTATGGGAAGAAGTGAGACAGGCAAAGACTGACAGGACCATTTTGAAAGGTTTTGTAGTTGTCTCACCAAAAAGCTTCTCTTATTGATAAACCTGTACCTTGCAGAACTGGCCCATTTGATACAATGGTATTATATTTCTGTGAAAACACAGGCAGAAAAATATTCTAAGAAAGACATGAGTGTTGAAGAAAATCTGGTATCTTAAAAGCTTACACAAATAAAGTTGTTGAGTATGTTTATATCCAAGGCAACAACAATATGAGGCAAACATGCAAACTCTACTGACCTTAATATAGCTGTGTTGATAACCTACTAACATAGTAATACAAATGGGAGATGATGTTATATGGAGCTCTATAAAACTGTACATTTGAAGAAAGGTATCTGCAGAATAAAAACTAGAAATATTCAGGCCACTAGAAAAGAGAACCATCAATATGCATTTTATTCCTTTTTAGAGTACCTAGGAAAGGAACATCATGAAAGCAAGTTTGACTTTCTGTTGCACTGGGAAGAAGGGAAGGAAAGGGAATTTGTAACAACACATTATTTCTGTGCTCACTTATGAGTCACCAAAGGAGAATTCCACCCCTCTCTCAATCATTGTGTTAAGTTCTGTGTATAAAAGTAATTCATGATTAATACGAAAGTTGATTGGCACTCTTGGGGACAGTACCATCCCTTAAGTTTTTTAATCTTTTAACAAGACATAAATCAAATAGCTCTTCAAAGAGCTGTTTCCAATTAAAGATTAACAATTTAATTTTATCTTAAATTTAGGTAACCCGATCTCACTCTCAGAGTGACTGTTCTAGGCCAGAGGTCCCCAACCTTTTGGGCATCAAGGACTAATTCTGTGGAGAGAGCTTTTTCCGGGGACTGGAGGGGGCGTGGTTTTGTGTGCTGCCTGCATCCTGCAGATGGGGCTTTGCTTGTTTGTGCGGACCAGTTGCTGGCATGCCACGGCCCAGTACTGGTCCACGGACCGGAGGTTGGGGACCCCTGTTCTAGGCCACCGTAGGCAATGCCTTTATGAAGTGAGAAGATGGAAGGGCATTTTAGTGCTTATGGTTAAAGCACTTTGAGCACTCACTTTCTCTGTGTTTGAGATGTTTCTCTGGGTTTCAGGCAATGTTACTCAATAGTTACTAGATTTTATGATACTGAGGTTTTGCTATAGGAAAGTAATTAAAAACAAGGATATTCTTACTGCACTTTTAAAAAACTTTGTTTGCTGATAAATTGCATTGAACAACAATACACAATCTCTATTTCTGCAATTCATTCAGTGATGGTGAGACATGGGAGCTGAAATATAATTGCTAGGTTGCATTACCAGTCAAATTGCATGTTCTTGATAATATTTCTTCACTGCCTGATCTGGCATGAATTATTAAACCAGGGTTATTTCTATTTTGCTTAGTAATAATTTTTCAATATTTGAGAACAACTTGTTTTAACCATTGAGCTAAACTATAGTGTGCATAACTGTGGTTCATTCATAAGCTACAGTTGGCTATGTTTATATAACATAGTAAGTTAAGATCAAACAAACCACCATAATGTATAAACTTGGCCAATATGACTTGATCTACCTTAAAGATTTGTCTGTGACAAAGCAAACTTCCTGGTTTAATCATGAATTTGGATAAAAGGTTATTGAAAAATTATTGTATTTCTAGGGCAAATCAGTGCCATTGTCAAAGGCATGTATGCCCTGATAAGCATTGGTTGAGGTCATTTTTTTTATTATGCCAGTATCATGAACTACAATCTTTGCCTTGCAAGGATATAAAGGTTTTGTTCTTCTGCTGTGATCTCCAAGTAAAGCTGGAATTCAACTTCATTAATTGTGTTAATCAAGAAATGGACTTGATCAAATGAAAGGCCACATACCCAAGCAACAACTCTTACCTGTTTTTGTTCTAGAATTTTTGCCCAGTCCACTTTGGAACCAACTTCAGAAAGTGTAAATTTTTCATAGAGCTCTCGATATTCTGCACATTGGTGTGTCATTCGGACATGGAGCTGCTTGATACTTGGAAGGAGAGAAGAAAGGGAATTTCTTCATTAGAAAATGGGTTTCTTCAAGGAAAAACTGTCCAAATTTGATCTGAACCTTGTCATGTAAGTGTGTCTCCATGCATTTACTAAATATTTCTCAAGAGAGCTGCATGGAATATAGATCACTACTTACTCTTTCTCAATTTCAAAGGCTTGAGGGTGTTTCAAATGCTTGACTTTGTCTACATCTAGGAAAAGGTCTTTCAAAAGTGTCTCTGCCTCTTTCAAGTTTTTGCCATTTATCTGCTGGAACTCCAAAGGCTTGTTCTGCTGGTGATTAATAGCATCCTACAACAAGAAAAGTGTAATGTGCATAAGCGTCATTCCCAGAAGAGAGGCAGTTGTGGTTGTACATCTAGAAGGCAGATATTTTAGGCTGTATTCTGAGCATGTAATTCTTGATTCTGATATTAATTCCACAAATGCAGGTAAATAAGTTTTATCTTATAGTTTATCGTGTCAACTTTTATCAGATAGTATGCAATTAATTTACAGAATTCATCACATCGAATAAATGTCTTAGATTAAGGGAAAAAGAGCTTTGGCTGAACACTGAATTAGATCTTTCTTGTTTTGATTTGGCAAGCCATGTTTCATATATTCTGAGTTCCCTGATAATACCCAGGAAAGTACCTAGGACTACTCTTGCGTGTATTTCCCTATTGCTTGGTTATCCCCTATGAAACATGGAGGGAGAGGTTCAAGTAAAACTAGATTAGCAACTGAGATACACTATACCAAGTAAACGTTCATCATGAAACATGGAGTGTCTGTCCCCACACTCTTAAGATAAAAATAAAAATTATTTTCATGAGTTAGTCATAGTCTTTTTGGTTCCAAGCTCAGAGTTATCATACATTCAAACATACCCACCACTATATCCCTTTTCAGATAGCAGCATTATATAAAATGCAAAAAGGCAGCATGAAGTAATCAGCAAAAGAAATTAAGGGCAGGAAATAAGAGAGAAGGAAAGGAAAAGTAATTCTAATTTTCTCCAACAGCCATAATTATAGTTTTCTGTCCTTGCAAAACATTCTTGCTTCCCTTAAGTCCATATCCTGATTCAAATACTGACTTTACTCATTCAATATGTCAGCTCTCCTTGATGCTTTCAGATGTTTCATTACCTGACTAGGTAACATCTTCAGTGCTAGTGAGTGTGAGCACTCATTTTAGTTTCACTTTCTAACATCCCACTAGCATTGACAAATATAAATAAAATAAAATAAAAATAGAAATTTTTAAATGCAGGTTAAAAGAAATCAAAGAAATATTTCTTTTAACCTTTCCAGTGTTTCTTCCCAAATTAATTATTTTTATGTTTAATTCTGTTCACTCTGCCAAAGGCTGTCAGGTGTGAAGATCAGGTCTGCGAAAGATCAGGTCCTCATATGAAGGTTCAATTAATGTGATTTATTGCTAAAGCCTATACACGGGAATCTTCTCAACTAACAGCACCTGCCTGGAGTTGGCACTCAAGGGTTGGACTAAGCTTGTTTGTGGCTACATAAAAATTCTAGGCTGATCCCCCTTTTTACTCTGTCCTCAAACTCTGCCAAGTCCTTCTACAAAGGTTGTTCTTTGGTCCTTTTCACATACTACCAGAATACTTTCATCAAAACTGCTTTGCATTTTCTTCCCTCTTTTAATTGTAACTGTTCCCTACTATTTGATATCTATTTTGAACTCTCTTTTGCTCTATATGCATAATGTCATGGTTCCGACAGATGAAACCCTTCAAAAGAACTTTGAGGCATTGTTTACTTTAAAGAATCTTTTATTCAAGAAACAAAGTATCAGCACTACATAGTTGAACCCAAAAACTAAATTCCCCTCCCCTGGATACAAAGTAACAAAGTATAATTCCCTCCTCCAATAAACAGTCATAAATCACATTCCCCAATTAGCTTGAAGCGCGGGCTTTCTCCCCAGCTCTCTAGCCCGCCAAAACACTATCAGCTCTGGGCCCAATGTCCTTGGGTTCCCACGGCTGAGTTTTTATTGTTATGACTAGCTGGATTTTCATCCCTATTCCCCCTCCCAGCATTGACTAATTCTAAAATCATAGAGAAAATGGCTGCATCTGTTGTCAATGCAAGAACATCCAATGTTAGCAGCATTGACACATACACTAATAGGCATATAGCCCCCCTCCCAGGTATACAAAAGTCAGGCCCCATGGTCTAAATGTAGGACACTGTAGAAACATATGTTTTAAAGAAGCGTTATCCTTGTTACATCTCCAGCAAAGTGGGTTTTTTTACAGTTCTTTTCTATACAAACATAATGGAGTCCAATACATTCTAAATATTATTTTTTGTTGCATAATTTGTAATTTGAGGTCCATTGACACACTCGTTATAGAGGACTCTCTTCCATTATCTATACAATATAGGAAACTCTAGCTCTTTATTCCACTCCCAGAATCCTTGATCAAGAAGCAATGCTGTGGTCAAGTGATTTTTTTTTTTTTTTTGCTCTTAGTCTCTCATGGAACCCCATCAAGCTCTCATGTGGTAGCATTCCATATATGAATCTATGGTTGGCCAGTAGGATTCTTTGTAACACATTCTGAAAAACCCTGATTTCCCCTGATTTAGAAGATAGTAAGTCATTCTTTCTGGCATACATTTCATTCACAATTAACTCCAACCCTCACTTTCATACCTGTATTAATCAACTCCTCTCCACAAGATTAGACCACCTCCGTTCAGATCTCTTAAAGGTTTCCACATAGTTTTTTAAAAGCACAAAATATCTATTTTTCTTTCTTTAACATCATTCATTTATTGCGTCCACTGAAGAAAGGTGGCTAATGAATTCAAATAAATAAAAATGAAATAAAATTTGTGTTTTATCTAATATGAAAAAACTAAAGAAATTTCAAAGAAGAGACCTCTTGAGTTTCTAATGAAGATAGGACCATTTTGTTGCAAGAAACTATTTCATGAGTTCAATCCAGTTTGTTTTTTTTAATTTTAATCAGGCAACTCAGCTTTTCTGTCATTTCAAAATAAAGGACACAGATATTCCCCTTGTATCTGATTAGATTTATTTTATGTATTTGCCCAACTAGCATATGTGATCTTACTTCTCTATTTGGAGCTTTCTCCAATAAACTTTAGAGCCAAACTTACAGCATGTTTTTTGTATTCAAGTTCCAATTTTACCTTCTTAAGTTTGGACTGTGTTTCAAGGATGTCCTTTTCCACCTGGTCAGCATTTTTTTGCATGCGAGAGATGAGCAACGCTAGATCATTGCTGCTTGATGATCTGCAGACAAGAATATAAAAATCAGATTAAAGATCCAGGTTTTTTGCTCAGAATTTCATACTGAAGCTACATTCTTTTTGATAATTATTTTGCTCAGTATACCATAGACATAGAACCCGAATTGGAACATTAGACTGCATTAAAAATCTCCTTAATTAATAATTACATAGCAGTGAAGAACAGATTCACCTATAACCTACTTGATAATATAGGTAGTCTTCGACTTACAACAGTTCATTTAGTGACCATTAAAATTTACAACGGCACTGAAAAAAGTGACTTATGACCATTTTTCACACTTACATCCCCATGGTTACATGGTCACATGATCTAAATTTGGATACTTGGCAACTGACTCATATTTTTGACAGTTGCAGTGTCTTGGGGTCATGTGATCAGCTTTTGTGACCTTCTGACAAGCAAAGTCAATAGGGAAGCAGATTCACTTCACAACTGTGTTGCTGCAGTGATTCACTTAACAGGTGTGACAAAAAAGGTTGTAAAATGGGGCAAAATTCACTTAATAAACATCTTGCTTAGCAACAGAAATTTTGGGCTCAATTGTGGTTGGAAGCTGAGGACTATCTGTAAATACTAAATAATAAGTAACAAATAAGACACAAATCTTTTGAGAGAAATAATGTTTAGCACTCTTACATGCACATTATTATGCACATTATTCAAACAGATACATCCACTTCCAAAACCTGACTTCTAATATAATAACTCAAATTAGAATGTTCTGATGTTTGTCTAATGATCTCTGTGATGCGTTACAAGATGCCATGCCTCTCTGTGAACCTCACAGAGACACAAAGGCAATCTAGACCACAAAACAAACTGTTTTGGAAAGGAGATAAATAAAAACTGAAAGTTAGAATCAGCTCTGTTTCCCAAAGGATGACTTTCCCTAAGGAGGTGGAAATGAATTAGCAAAGGAAGCTGGAGTTAGCAAAGGGGCTAATGAACTAGCAAAGGAAACTGGAATCTTAAAAATCCAGAACTCTGAAAAGAAGAACTTTGATCAAGAAGGTGAATGGTTGGCAACTAAAGATGGATCGAGACAGTATTAACTAACTAACTAACTAACTAACTAACTAACTAACTAACTAACTAACTAACTAACTAACTAACTAACTAACTAACTAACTAACTAACTAACTATAATAATAATAATAATAATAATAATAATAATAATAATAATAATAATAATAATAATAATAAAGTTAGAAGGGACTTGGAGGTCATCTAGTCCAACCCCCTGCTCAGGCAGGAAACCCTATACTATTTCGGACAAATGGCTGTCCAGTCTCTTCTTAAAAACTTCCAGTGTTGGAGCATTCACTGCTTCTGGAGGCAGGTTGTTCCACTGGTTAATTGTTCTAACTGTCAAGAAGTTTCTCCTTAGTTCTAGTTTGCTTCTCTCTTTGGTTAGTTTCCACCCGTTGCTTCTTGTCCTGCCTTCAGACGCTTTGGAAAATTTGAAAATTGTTGAGGCTTATTGAATTTTGTAAATAGCAATGAGGGTTAGTGACCTTAAATTAACCTAAAGCTGCTTTCCCCCCCCAAAAAAAGGCAACTGGACTTTGTTTTTCCTTAAAGACGTTTCACTTCTCATCCAAGAAGCTTCTTCAGTTCTGACTGAATGGTGGAGGATGGAAGGATTTATATTCCTTGCAGTCATCTGGTTATTAGCATTCTTTCTGAGAGTTGTTGAGGTCACTTGGGGATTTATCTGTACCATCATAGTGCAAATGGGTGTGGAACTGCTGAAAGGACTGTGTTATAAACCGGAGATAGGTGGTGTCATATCCCTCCCCCTCTGTTGAGAGAGGGCTGTTCAATGTTAATGTAGATGGCCTCTTTGACCCCTCTTTCAAACCAGGAGTCCTCTCTGTACAGAATGTGGACTTTGCTGTCTTCAAAAGAGTGACCTTTGTCTTTCAAAGGCAGATGGACCGCTGAATCTCGTCCTGGTGGGTTTGTTCTCCTATGTTGTGCCAAACATTTGTGAAGTGGTTTATTTTGTTTCTCCAATGTAAGTTTTGTAAGTCGCAGTATGAACTTTCATCCGGCTTGTATTTTTTTTCGGTTGCTTAAAATCTTTTGTCCCCTCTAGTGTCCAGTTCCTAAAATCAATTATCTTTTGTTATTAACTTGCAACTACCAGGATAGACAAAATAATTTTTCCTCATAAGAAATTTTACAATATTGTGTTTATTTTACAATAAAACACAATATTCCAAATTTATCTGGATCCATTTGCAAATTTCTTAGATCAAAATCTTGTTTAGCTTTCTGCTATTTATTTCAAATTTGGTAAGTTCTTAAGCTTTTAATTAATTATTCTTTTGTTCATGATTGAAGATAATCTCACACAATTAAGATTTTTCAAACCTGTCTCTAATAGTTTTAAGATGATTCATAGGCAATTTCTGAAAGTGGATAGAAAGTGAGGTTTGCAAGTTTAGTGTCCTTTAAAAAGTTCTGCTGTGGTCCCAACCACTGTTTTCCAGTGCTAAGTATCTCAGAAAACATCTGTCCCATGGTCTCCTTATGAGGAGCCGCTGTCCAGAGCACATGTGGATGATCTCCCATTCTCTCTTTATCTGGAGAAATTCCAAGGAGCCAGTCTACTCATTAGTTCCTTGGCCTTTGCTGTGGTTGTTGACTCCACATTTGCCCAGCCACCTTCAGTTCATGATACCTCCTCTAGAAGTCCTCAGCATTCATTTTCTTCATTAACTTTTCAATAACAGACTGAACTTGTATTTTGAGCAGGGATGATATAATATAAACAAACAAAAACTCTAGACTCACTGACAGTTAAGTCCCATATTTTAATTATTATTGCATTTTTCCATCAAATTTTAACACTAACTAAAGACTAGAGGCACAGTACAACCTCTTAACTGCTGTAAGATAAAATATACCGGTTTATATCAACTAATACATGTTAATATCAATATTAGTGGTGCCCATTGTCACCCTCAATTGTAAAATATCATTCACCAGATGCATTAAAACCATTTGGGAACCAGGCATTCTACAAAAACTTTGCATAAGCATGTGAAAAGAGCAACTTACAGGTTGAGGAGATATTAATTGCAACATAAATAACATAATAATAAAACGGAAAACAAAGTATAAGAAACTGGGCTTTCCGCAGGATGTGGTCAAAAAAACCCTTAAGATGATAGTTACAATAATACAACTGAAGCTCCATGATGCACATAAAAAATGGGTGGAACTTTGATCCTACACGGTAGAACAGGAAAAACAGGTGTGTTAATATCGTATAATATCGTATTATGTCAAATGTCTTCCTTAGAATTGAGAAGGATGTTACCTCGTAAAAGAAATTAAACGATACGTTTTAGGTCAAACCGGGAATTCAGTTGTTTCTCCGACCAATAGACCTTCGTGGAAGACGAGTGTCGGAAAGATTCATCTGGTCTTTTCAACCAAAAACTTTCAATATATCGGGGTTGTAGGTCTTAAAACACATCCTATCATTTCAACGAGACAAAATCAATGGGATCGTAAATAGTTAGAACTCAAAACCTTCAAGAGATTCACAAAGAGTTTCATGGCATTACAACTAAAATGCTGACTGGTCTTTCAAATTAAAATTCAATTTAAGCCCTCTCATTTGTTAATCATACATTACCAGAGCAGTAGCAAGTCCTAGAATAAATTAATATTATGGAATGAAAGCTGTGTGATGATCCTCCAAAGAAAGAAGGGATATTGATACGTAATCATTATGTGAAAATAATACTGTTGGCAATATGTAGGGAAATGAACCAGCCCTTCCAGAAAAATTGGTTGATACTGCAACAAAATGCTATTTAATTAATTTTATTCAATCTAGATGTTGTTCTTCAAAGGAAGCTTTTATGTTTCAGGAACATCATATTTTCATAGACGCATAAACTGTGTTTGCAGAACAGGCCCATACATGAGTAAGCAATGTCACTCTTTCTCGGGCAGTCTCCCACTTTTTTTTTCTTACTCTTCCAAGAACACCCTAAAAAAGCCCCAAACAGGTGATGGTTCAACTTGAGCTACATGTACCATAGCAGCAGATTTGGTCTGTTCTTGCTACCCAACCCGCTTTCTAGAGCAGGGGTTCTGAACTGGGGGTGCTCGTACCCCTGGGAGTGCAAGATGATATTCCAGGGGGTGCGAAAACTTGGGTTTAGAAATTTCAAAATTATAGTGTATCTGCATAATCCGTTGCCATTATTTCGAACTTTTGTAAAGGGTGCGAGAATATACCAGAAGCGTTCTAGGGGTGCGGGGTACAGAAAAGGTTGGGAACCACTGTTCTAGAGGATGAAGGGTTGGGATTAACCATGGGGTTAATTTCTGGTATTGCAGTTTTGAGAGCACAGTCATGAAAAAGAAATATACTCTAATGCAGTGTTTTCTCAATCTTGGCAATTTTAAGATGACTGGATTTTCCCAAGCTGGTTGAGGAATTCTGGGAGTTGATGTCCACCCACTTTAAACTTGCCAATGTTGAGAAACACTGCTCTAAACTATGATTCCAGACTGTGATTACAGCAAGTTGGGACTGCAAGTTTGGGCAGCATATTAAGCCGAACCTTGGCATGCTTTAGTATATCATATCAAGATAGCTATAATTTTGGAAGATTTTTGGGAGGCAGGGGAGGCCAGCTCCTATTGGATACCAAATTCATAGTGCAGAATGCAGCAGTAGCACTGTTGAAAAATAGCTTCCCAGCCATTGCTCAAATGTGTCAGGCAAAAGAGAGTACAGCACCCCCTAAAGCAGATTGGTTTTTACTGTGGAAAAAGATTAGCATTCAAAACTTTCTCCTACTGTTTAACCTGAAATTTGGTACCCTATAATTACCACAACTGGTTCTAGTTCCACCCTTTGGAGTTGCAGAGCATAAGGTTGCCCCTTCTTCTGCATTACTGCAATTTCTTGTATCCAACATCAACTTGTTAGCACTTAAATAATTACAGGA